TCTCTGAAGCACATGACAGAAACCTGAAGTGCTGGGAGTGAGAGCGGCCTGGGATGTGAGACCATGCATGCCCATAGGGCAGAGCCTGTGCTCAAGGCCAGCCCGGGGGTGGCAGTGGGAGGAATCCAGCCCAGGCCCACGGCAGAGCAGAATGCAGAGAAACAGCTGGCATGGGGCTGTCAGGGGGACATCCAGGCACCGCCTCTTGCCAGCCAAGCGACCTTTGGTAAGCTGGCCTTCAGCTCCCTCGCCTGTAAGATGGGATAATGGTGGTAACTGCCTGATAATGATGGTAACTACCTGATATGATCCTCTTTGGGATTTGATTAAGTAATCTATGCAAAATTCTCAGACGAGCACCTGCTTCGGAAGCCACTATTGGCCGCCACCATATCACCACCATGCTGCATAGTCTGGGCACTGGGGACTCAGGTTTGGACTGTGGGACAGCAGCTGAGCCCTGGACCAGCACTGAAGAATACGGTGGTGCTAGGCCTCAGGAATAAGACAGCGACAGTTCCCCAAAACAGGGAATAATAATAGGGCAGGAAAGTCTGGACCAGTGTTCCTTAGACGATTATAATGACCATAAGAGGGGGGCTTGGTCTGAGAACAAGCAGCAGGCCTGAGCCTGCAGGTGTGTGCAGGGGGCCCAGCTGTTGGAAGAGGAGAGATGAGGGAGGGAAGTCAGACCCTCGTTCTGAGCTTGAAGTTAGAGCCCTTCCATGTGGCTCCGAAGAATGCGTTTACTGTTTCACACGTGTTGGTCCTTTGGAAGCAGAGCCATGGAATGTCAGAGCAGGCATGACCTCAGAGTGATGTGACTGCCCAGGGTCACACAGCAGGTTAAGAGCACTCCCCTGCGCTTTTCTGTGTTTCTGTTTCCCTTTTGGTCACATGAGGTTGGTACATTAGATGGGTGACCTTGGGATCTTTCTGACCCTGAAAATGACCCCTAGGGACTATTTCTGGGGTCTGTTCGGTGTTAGGAAAGGGGAGGCGGACGCTCTGAAGAGGCAGAGCGTGCAGATGAGAAGGCAGCACGAAGAAGCACTTGATCCCTGGCTGGTGCACAAAGAACAGGGTCGGAGGAGGAGCAGCGGTCCAGCTACTGTCCCCTTGGACGTGAGCAGGGCTGCCTCTGTGAGGCACTAGGGCTGCTTGCACACCATTGGACTCAGATTGGCATAAGATGGAAATCTCAGCAGAGATCTCCCAGCTCCCGATGAAAATGCTCCCTGACCTAAGCCTCTGTTGGCTCTTGACTTCCCAGCTCTGCTGTAGGCATTGGCCCTCCAGTGTGCCAGTCAAACACCTGAGCCAAAGTGGTCCAAATCTCATCAGTGCCCAGAAGCTGGCAGGGCCTAGAATTGGCCTGGGTGCCCTGAACTCTGTACGTGGCATTACCATGGGCAGTTGTGGTGGGATGCCTACTGAGCTGCAGCCTCCCCCAAACCCTGCTGTGTTGGTGACTCTACAGAACTGGGTTTACTCCTTTCTGCCTCTGGCGAGCGTTGGTGGTATAGTGGTGAGCATAGCTGCCTTCCTTTCTGCCTCTGTTCCCCTGCTTTGGACTCCAGTTGTGTGCAAGAGTCAGAGCCACACATGAACGCCAGACCCTGAGACCCTGACTAGCTGTTAGCATTCCACCTAAACCCCACTTTGGGCTAGATTCTGTTCCCCATGCCCTCAAAGTACTAGCTGGGTTTTTGCTTTAAACAAGGAAGATTGCCAAGAAATGATGCTGACATTCTTCTATTAATAGCTTCAGAGAGTGTCACTGTTAGCGGCTGCCTGTGTCCCACCCATGAGTGGCCCTGCTTGGACCCATCACAAGCTTGCCCCAACCTCTGGGCTTCCTTCTCCAACCCCCTTCCTACCTCTGGCCTGTGATGCTGCAGTGCCTGCCTGCTGTTGAGGCCCACATTCCCAGGTCTGAATCTCTGGCTGGGTGTTACGATGCTTTGGGCTGCAGGTAACAGAAACCTAGCTACAAGTGGCTTAAACAATAGGGGTTTATTAACTCCAGGAGCCTGGAGGTGGGGGTTGTTCCAAAGCTGAATAACTCAGCAGCCCAGTGATGTCAAGGATCCACACTCTTTCTAGCTTCCTCTCTCTGCCAACCTAACCACCGAGTCAGCATTATCTTACCCAAGGTCATAAGATGGTCCCAAGGGCCATTTGCAGACATGATGGTGGGTGGTGCAGAAGAGGAACATTGTCCCCCCAATTTTTGTTTATTAGCAAAGAAGTCCTTTCCCAGAAACACCAAGACTTCCCTTAGATGTAAAGTGAGAGTAATAGGCCCCATTAGCCAGAGCTGCGTCACATACCCATGCCTGAAGCAGTCACTGGAAAGTGGAATGAAACCACTATTGCTAAACTGGACTAGTAATAGTTCATTCCCTGGGCCTGCAGAAGGTCTGTCCCCCCAAAAAAACAGGCCTTTACCAGCAGGGAAGACACAGGGGGAATACCTTTACTGAGTAGCTCCTAATATTTAACTTGAACTTTTCCTGTTTACATTTGGTGCCAGAGTACCTGGTCACAGACCTTTGTACCAAAGGAAGCCATTTTGACTTCTTCCTCTCTGCACCCATCCAGGCTCTTTCATGTAAGCAACAGAAGCTGACTTTAGACAACTTAAGCAAAAGCAGATTAAGTTGAAAGGATAATGAAAATCTCACAGGATTGACAGGAAGGCTAGAGAACAGGCTCAGAAAAGGATCCAGCCCCCCTACACACCCCCACACACCCCCAGTCCACCCTAGGGGAGCAGAAAACAGGAACTAATCAGGGGCAGTCCTGTCATGGCTGCATATATGGAAGATTCAGGACCTGGAAGAGAGCATTTAATATGCCTAGCTCAGCCTCATGCCCTCTCCTTGGCTGCAAGAAAGCAGGGAGCCTTGCTTTACTGTCCCCCAAGTCCAGGAGAGCTAATTCCCCAAAATGAAATCAGGGTGCTGTTGCAGAAGTAGGGAGAGGTGTTGCTGAGTGGCCCCAAACCAGCAAATGCACACCACGCATGGTAGTGCATGCCTGATCTAAAGACACAGCAGAGATGTGACACATGTCCCTCACAGGTGGTAAAAAAAATGCATAACCTTAACTGCATGGAAACTGGCTGCTTGGTGCAGGAGACGCAGCAGCCCTCCCTGTCAGGTCCCCACCAAGGCAGTCCCCCTTCTGATATCACTCTGACAGGCAGAGGAGTCTGTCGAGTCCTTCTAAAGGCTCCCTGAGCCACTCGTATGGCAGGTGGTCCCACCTGGCTTCTCCCAGTTGCTTTAGAAATTCTATCAGTGCATCTTCTGTTCACCAATTACAGGAAACTGGTGACAGCCCCAGAACAATCCTGAGTTTTTCTTTAAGACGAAAGTGAAGACAAAGACCAGACCTTCAAGATGAAGGCTTATCATACCCCTGGCAGGGTGGGTTTCAGGATGGGCTAGGTCTGCAAATAAGAAACTATTATTGAGCACCTACTGTGGGGAAGATAATGATGATGATGGGGATGATGATGTTGATGATAATGATGATGATGTTGATGGTAACAATTATGGTGTTTATGATGATGGTGGTGGTGGTGGCTATGGTGTTGTTAGTGTTGATGATGGTGATGGTGCTACTGCTATTGTTGATAGTAATGATATTTATGATGAGGAAGGTAGAGGTAGTGATGATGATGGTGTTGGTGATGGTGTTGTTGCTGCTGTTGATAGCAACAATGATGATATTCATGATGTTAATGGTGGTGGTTGTGATAATGGCAATGATACTGAAGAGAATGATGGCGATGATGATGATAATCGTCTGGTGCCCATTTGTTGAGCTTCTGCTTTATGCCAAACCCTGACCTGGGTGATTTCTACTGTCTTCTTTCATCCTCTTAACAACTTTCCAATGTCAAGATCATCATCTCCATTTTACTCATGAGGACACTGAGCTAGAGAAAGGCCAAGTAGCCTGCCCAAGGGCTCACACCCAGTCTGAGCTGGGTTTGAGCTTAAGCATGCCTCACTGTAGAACCACCACTCTTCCTTGTACCAGGGTACCTAGCCTGTGGCCCATGGGGATGGGCATCTCAGAGGGGTGCTGAGTATTGCTACTGAATACTACTGAATGAGTATTGAATGAATGGATCCCCAGGGAGCCAAAGCCTTAAGCCCAGAAGATGTAAATAACATGTCTCAAATGAGTATGTGTAACCATTATTTAAACATATGTGGTGGTGCTGTGATTACTAAAATACAAGTTAATTGTAAAGCATTATGTTCATTGTGGCTTTTGTATGATCGTTTATTTTCCTAAGGAAAAGATACTAAGTGTACAGTTACCATCAGGAGTAGTTTTGAGAAATATTTTCACACAAAAAGGAGTCTTTGCACTGCAAATGGTGGGACGCATTCTGCACAGTGTATATAAAATGCTTTGCCCAGTGCCTGGCACATAGATCACTCAGAGGAGGGCGGAAACGCACCAGGCTGGGTGTTGGGAGCCTGTGGCATTCGTCCTGGCTCTACAAGTGACTGTCTTCCTAGATCTGGACTGTCACTCTCAGTGACTTAATCTCCATAAGACCTGGCACTAACATCTAATAGCTTTCCCAAATGGCTATTGAATGCTTGCATGAATGAATGAATAATGAAAGAAAGAATGAGTGAATTATGACGAATGGTGCTCAGGGAGCATCAAGCAGTGCTTGGAAGTGAGAGTTTCTCATCCTGAGAGCAGAAATAGAATGCAGGAGGTTCAGCAGGGGCTGGTGACAGGACTTTCAGCTCTGAATGGTGCGATGAGGCTATGGCTGCGTCTCAGGGGGAGCCTGACCTTGACCCTGCGATGACCGTGCTATAGAAGAGGTTGGAACCGGGGGTTGGCTATGAGGCCACTCTCACCAAGGCTGTGGTCATCATTTTTGGATGCATTTTTCAAACTCAAGTGAAAGTTGACAGATGGTGGTGGTATAATATTCTCACTTTCTCTGCTTCCCACAGGTCTCCCTCCAACACAGTCCTCCAAGCTCTTAGAAATCTCTGACACATCTCGACCATGAGACCACAGCTAGCTTTTGGCAGGTAAGTTCCCCCAATCTCTCCCTCACACCACAGGACATAGAGCAATGTCAGCACAGCCCATAGGCCACTCTGGGCGATGTTTGTGGCCAGTAGGCAGGTAGGGGTGACTTCGGCCTTGGCAGAAAAATGAAGCCCCACACTCTACTGAGACTTTAGGAAAATCCTGCCAAGTGTCCAGAGTCCATCAGCTGGCATTTCTGCAGAAGCAGCATATGGTGATAGGCATGTGTCCTGGGATAGAAGCCAGGGAACTGGATCTGAACCTAGTCTGCCTTTAATGCTCAGGAAAATCTCAAATAAGTGCCTCCCTTTCTGTGTCTCTGTTTCCCTGTTTGAAAAGCGAGGGAGTTGGACTCTGTGAACTAGGCAGGCCAAGGCTATGGGCTAGGGAAGGGGTGGTGGGACACCAGCTGTCTGCCACTTTCCTAGGACTCATCTTCTGTTTGATTGCTCCATGGACCTCACACCCACAGGGAGCCTGGGATGGGCTGTGTGTGTGCACGTACACATTCAGGGGCCTGTCACCAGCCCCACACCTGCCCTCTCATGGCTGGGCAGCACATCCCGGACACGGTAGGCTGCCAATGCCCAGATGGGGAGGGCAAAGGCTGCTCATGCGCTGTGAGCTGGGTGGGCCCACAGCAGAACATGGGTATGAAGATCAAGCTGAGGGAGGGGCAATGCAGGGTGGGAGCCCAGGTTAAACGGACAGTGAGGCCCTCGTTAAAGGAGGAGCCAGCATAGAGCCAAAGCTCATGGGCAGATCTTTAGGTCAGGCCGGGAGAACTGTCTAGGAGATGAGGACGAGAGGGCAGGCAGAGGCCCTTTTGCTGTCTGACAGGCTAGAGGCTGCCCCACCGCCATGCCACTCTGCCTTGAACAAGGCTCAGGTGACACATGCCAGGGTTTATGGCAGCAGGGAGTCGACACCTTGCTTCCAGGCTCCTGCCTGAGTCTAGCCAGGCTTGGTGGCTACCCACTGGCCTAGCAGGCTTGGCCTCTAGGGAAGAAGAAGGGCCACCCTAACTGCCTCAAGGTGGTTTGAGGATGGACAGGTGAGCATCAGCCTGTACCTGCTTCTCCAGCCAGGAAAACTAGTTCAGGAGGCTTGTAGGCACATAACGCTGCTTGGTTGGCTCAGCTGCAAAACATGCTAGGAACTTGAGGGGCTGGGGACTAGGAAGAAGCTAAAAGCAGGTTAGATGACCTGGAGAGATCCTCTCTGGCCTCGCCAGCCCCATATCCCTCACTCCCAGCTCTCCACTACACACAGCCCTGACCTCCAGCCCTGCGAAGGTCCCTGAATGGAGCAGCACCCCTCCTTGCTTTTGCCCATGGCTCCTCTGCTGCCCTCCTGTCCAAACCACTAGGCTCCTCTGGACCCTAAGTCTTGGTTCTCAGGGGAGCCTCTGCTGACCACCTAGCTGGCCTTAGTACATAGTACCTGCCACACAGTTCATCCCTCTATCATCAGTCACACCTCCCTGAGTTTAGTCATTGGTTTCCATGTCATCTTCTACACACACACCGAACTCCTTGAAGGCAGGGGCATTTGGCCATGTACAGAGTGAGCTGTGGGAGTACCTGGGAGTGAGATGCGAGGTAGGGAAACTGAGGTAGGGCCTGGTCATCTGGGCATATTTGTTGCCTGCTGTGCTCTATCCTCTGTGCTGGGCACTGAGGCACAGAGACAAATGAAGTAACATCATTGCCCTCAAGAAGCCTCTCATTTAGCAGAGGTAGTGACATGCAAATAGGCCATCATGCAGGAAACATGGGAAGGCAGCAGGGTTCTATTCTCTTCAGGTTTGGTTGTGGTGGTGGTTCAGGGAAGACCATTTTAAGGTGATCCTTAAACTGGGCTTTGAAGGATGAGTAGAAGTTCGCCAGGTTAAAAAAAATGGAAGAAAGTCATTCTAGGATGAGAAGAAAGCAGATACAAAGGTGGAGTGGCCAGGACATAGGCGCAGAGAAAGGGTGTGTGGAAGTGAGGCTGGGAGAAGTGGGCAGGCCTTTGCATATCATGCCGAGGAGCTCCGGTGGTGCCCTATGTGATCAAGGAAGGGGGATGGTCAGCTCTGTGGTACCAAGAGAGGCCTCTGGGCCCAGGGCAGAGGCTGAGAGCTAAGAAGAGGTGCTCATGTTAGAAGCTGGCTAAACCAGGACATGTGGAGGCCCTGGGTAAGACACCCCTTGCTGGGTGGCCCAGAGTGTCCTGACGCAGAGTCACAGGCATCCTGGGGTCCCTGTCCTGTGCCATGGGCCCCATCAGTAGGGGGCTGCTTGGCTTGCCATCAGAACCCCTCTCCCCTCCCCACCCAGCTCACCTCCCATGTCCATACGGGACAATATGCCGCCTCCCCCAGGGCAGCAACCTCGAAGGATTCTATGTTGCCATTAGGTGCTCTTCTCTTTACTGGATAAACAGAGCAACTGCTGCCCGAGAGTTTTTCTGTGTGGTGGGTAATACTTCGCAATTTTGTAATTTTACAGTCTCCTCCCTTGACAGAGCTCAAAACGCTTTTACATCTGTTATCCCAGTAAAAAGAGTAGGTTCCGAGGCCTGAGAGAGCTGTACTCCAATGCTGCCCTGTCAGCCCCTTGGGAAGCAGTGTGACTGGTCTGAGCCTCCGGGTCTGAGCCTCTAAACTACCCACCTCCCCAGGTGGTCTCAGAATCAAAGGCCAGAGCTCATGTGAAACGCAGGCTGCGTGCCTGTCGTTCAGTCAGCACTTCTATCCCATGCTCCTCCATCAACTCGCACCCGTGTGATGGAACAGGTGGCTGGTGATGGGCAGTGGTGTCCGAGAAAGGCCGGTGCATGCTTTGGTTCGAAAGGTGGCATGAGCCGTTAGCGTATGTGCCTTAGCAGGAAGGCAGACCTGGCGACTTTCCTTTAAAAAGTTCATTTGGCCGAACTTTCTCAAAACCTCTCTGTTCCAGGCACTGGTGGACACTGGGGGCCCAGACGGGAATTAGATGGTCCCTTCTAGAGAAGGGACATGTAAACAAATAAATGGCGCTGCACCATGGTAATAATAAGGATTATAATAGCTCATGGTTATAAAGGACTTACATGTGCCAGGCATTGTTCTAAGAGCTTTATATGGATTTTCACTCCACCTGCACACCAACTCTGTGAAGCAGGTGCTGTTATCATCCTCTTTTAAATATAAGGAGCACTGATGCACAGAGACGCTGAGTAATTGGCCCGAGCACACACAGCTGGGAAGTGCCTTAGCCAGGTTGAACCAGGCAGTCTGGACTCAGAGTCCACGTTTGAATGACCCGTGTAGCCTAAGCACTAAGCCTTCTCTAAGAGCTAGAGGCATTGACAGGGTTGGGACTATGCCAGTCTTGCTCTAGCACCTAGTAGGCACACAACAAAAATGTAGGCACACTAACAAGAATGCATGGATGAATTGGGTCTTGAGAGAATTGGGGCGGAACATGTGGGTAGGGACAGGTGTTACAGATAGAGGTTGCAGCTGGAGCAAAGGCCTCAGGCCTGAGCACCTGGGGTGGCCTTGAGGCACTGCAGGCCTGGGGCGCTGGAAGGCTGGAGGGGACCAGAGAAGGGAGACTTTGAATGGCAGCCTCTCCCGCCAACCCTTCTTATCCTGAAGTCTGGCACCTGCCTGCCTCCCTCAGCAAGCCTTTCCCACCTGCCCTGTCCCACATTGCGAAAAGGAAGGTGCTGTGCCCTTTGTGTCCCCACGTCACTATATGTCACCTTCAAAGGCTCCCGGGGTCTGACCTGGCAGCAAGACCACAAGCCCTCCAGAGACAGGGAAGGCATGCACCCGCCACAAGGGGCTCAGGAAAGACGATTCAAAACCTGCTTATGAGGGATGGCTTTCTGGATGTTGAGGTTTCAGGGAGCAGGTGTTTTGCAAAGACACTTCCTTTCTTCATGCTCAGTGAGCTAGGGATGGAAAACTGAGGTAGGGGCTTAGCTCTGTGGCTTCCTAGCGGGGAGCCCTTGGGTAAATCAGTTCATTTCTGTGTACCTTAGTTCCCATCTTCATAAAGTGGGAATACAAACAACGACAGAATTACGGGGGCTAAGACTTGGGGAAACTCCACTATAGGACGAGGTTCGGTGAAAAGTTGTTTCTCTGCTTTCTGCTTTGCTTCTGGGGCCTCAGTTTTCTCCATAAAATGAAGACTTGGAGAACGTAGATCTTTAATGCCAGTCAGCCTTGAAATTCTAGGATTCAAAGCTTCCAACACTGGTGGACTAGATATATAAATGTATTTACACACACATATATACTATATGCCTATGAGCATTTACAATGTAATCATTTTTATAAATTTAAAATGGACATTCAATTACATTCAATATAAATATACGATTGACAGCATCTTTTATTGTGCTTTCTTCTGATTACAAAAGTAATACATATTTATTGAGAACATTTTGGCAAGTACAGGAAAAGAAAACAATTCACCCACTCTTCCACATTCGAGACTGAACCTCTCAGATACTCAGTGAAATTCTCTCCCACCTTTTTTTCTACGCACATACACAGACTTTTTAAAACTATAGTTGGGATTCTACCCAGCCTTCTATTTTTTAACTTGGGCTGAGCTGTTGAGCCAGGTCTCTGGGCAGGGCCGTCATCCCCGAGCTGAGAGGAACTGGAGGCAGCTGCCGCCACAGCTGTTTCGTGCCCACTCCCCCACTCCCGCCCGCCCGCCTGGGCGGCTGGCTGGAGGCATCTGACCTGCGGATGTTCCGTGTCTCTGGCGGGTGGACATTTTACACTAATTTTAGTTTAGCCCCTCAGGCCTGCTGGCCTCGGGGCCCGCATATAATGGACGCCTTATGTAGACAGCTGCCAAAGGTGCAGGAAAGAGCGTTCCACCTTAAAATGTTCCTCGTCGCCGGCCAGTCCTTTGCTCTCGGAGAACAAGCCGGCTCCCTGTTCCTTCTTCCACCAGGAAGGGGCCGTTGTTGATGTTCATGGCCCAGCAGGCTGGACCCGGCGGGCAGG